GGGGAAGGGGGGGGGCGGGAGGCGGCGGTCACAGGTCGAGCCGGAAGGCCCCGAAGTAGCTGGCTGCTGCGTCGTTGTAGTCGATGGCCAAGGAGGAGACGGAGACGAAGAGCTCGTCGCCGGCCTTCAGCTCGAACAGACCCCCCTGGTAGAGAGCGTGGAGCCCGTAGTCCGCCTCGGGCGCCCAGCACTTGGTGCCGACCCCTTTGAGCAGGAGGATGGGTTGGCTGTAGGACGTCTTCCAGTTGATGCACTGCACGAGCTGGGGGACGGAGACGCGGGCGCCCGCCCTGTCGCTGGGGTAGCGGAAATAGATCTGGGAGTAGACGTAGTACTTGCCCGCCTGGTTGACCTGCAGCCGGCCGTCCCGGTAGGTGATGTTCTGCAGGTGCGGGTGGATGGTGCTGGCTTCCCAGCGGGCGATGGCGTGGCGGCAGGACTGGGAGAGGTTCCCGAAGCGCTTGGAGTTGCCTGGGGAGAAGGAAGGGTCACCGCGGGGAGCGGGATGCTCTGGGGGACACCCGTCAGGGACAGGGGAGAGGGAGGGGGGCGGCTCGAACTCTCTCCCGCAGTCTTCCCGGGGTGGAGAAGGCGGTCCAGGCAGGGGAGGAGAAACATCTCCCCATCTGCCACCAAAGGCCTCCTCCCATCCTGGTCCCCTGCCCTTCGGGTGGGATCTTTCCCCCGTCCCCAGCTCAGAAACCCGCCGGGTCCCCGACTCACCCCCCTGGGGCAGGCTCTGCGGGCGGAGGGTGAGATGTGCCGAGGGTTTGCCGGCTGTTTTGGGAGGAACCTGCCCCTCTGAGGCATTGAAGTAGCTCCGGCGGGCCTCTGCGAGGAAAGGGACAGGCGGCTGTAGAGGACAGAGAGCGCGGGGACGCCCGGCCCCGTGCCGGCAGAGCAGGTCCTTACGGAGCAAGCGGAGCGAGCGGGGCAGGGAAATGCCCCACTGACCCGTCGAAGAGGGGGTTATTTAGGGATGGAAACCTTTAGTCAATCATTACCCAGCGTTTCCCCGCTGCCCCCTGTGGCCCCGCTTCCCCGGACTCCAGACAGACAGACACGGATGTCCCTCCGACCCGTTCCCGG